GGGCTGCTCCCTTCTTCAGAGGTCGCCACAGAGGACCAACTCGCGCAAAGACTTGGATTGGCAAATGTTTTTACGCCGGATGCCCTTCCTGAAACAACCACAGACCACTGAGCTACCACAGCCCTCTGTGTGGAGCAGGGGACTGCCATCCAAGGCACCAAGGGAGGAGCTGGAGTGGGCCTTGCTTAAGGGCTCAGAGTAGTGTGAGTGAGGGTGGAAGCAGGCGTGGGTGCTTCGCCTTTCCCCCCCACATTTTTGTTATTTGTTGGGGGATTTGAACTGGTGACCTTCCAATCACAACTTGGCTTCTCTAACCTCTACACCACCACTTTCCCCTTTCACTCCTTTACACCTTCTTTTGTGTTGACTTTTATTTACAAATGTAATTATAAGTTTGTTTTATTAATATTTTACATAGCAATATCAAAATTTCCTCAATACGCATTGTGTCAGAATGACTGCAGAGCAGCTGAAACATGTACATACGAACAATGTTTGGACTTGCCAGGAAGTAGGCATGAATATATCTGGACCACAATGCAGTGCAAAATACAGACTTTGAACATTAGTACTTTAAAAATGTCAATGTGTAACTTGACCGTTTTCGTTCTTTGCTTTTTTTTCCCCTCACAAAGACATCATCAGCTGTGATGCATATGTGGTGGTGTTTGTTAGCAAAATATCTGAACTACTGCACAAATTTTATGACTTTCAGAACAGAATCGTTGGATGGACATCTACACATAATTAGCTCTATTCACCCTTAGCAAACACCACAGTTGCTACAATTAAGTAGTTTTAAAAAATCTTGCAAAAATTAAGCAAGATATAAAACTTTAGCATTAACGTCTGCAGTCGACCTTGTTTGTCTGTTAGCAAAATGTGTCCTGACCCACGGGATGAATTGTTAATGAAACTCAGTAATTGTTAGACGTCCGTCTACAGCTCATTAACTTTTGGAGTCAATCCAATTCAAGATGGCCACCACAGCAAATTTTATCGAACAAGGCAACCAACTATGCAAACATAAAATTGTTATAACTCAGTCAGTTTTACAGATGTTGAGCAAAGTTTTGGTGTGGTAGTAGTTGAGAGTCATCCCCATCACATATTCTGAGGGCTAACAAATCAAGTGTGATCTTCATTTCAAACTCTGGCATAAACGGTGGCATTTCTCTTGTCTTTGTTGTTTTTACCGATCATTTATCAGATTTTAAACTTTATTCTTCATCTCATATTTTAATAGTTAAATTAATATTTCTCACGTGACGTTTTTAATATTTACACCGAGCAGCTGCAGCTAGCTCAGCCGCTTCATGCAGGAACAACATCCACCTCGAAGCAGAGATCTGCAGGCGGCAGGAAGTGCTTCACAGATCTCAAAAGGTCAGCTGTTGGTTCTGGAAGGAGAGCTGTGCTGTGTAAACATGAGCATCTACAGTTAACTGCCAACATGCACGTTCACTTTTAGCTTTTGTGTCCACAAGCTTGTTTGGGAACTCATTCCAGGCAGCCAGTGAAGCCTAAAGCAGCTGTTTTTCAGCTGTCAGAACCATCCAAACCAGTGAAATTGTGTTCTTCATCAAGTTCTTTCTCATCTGATTCACTGAAGGTGCTGAAAAACTGTAACTTCTTTAAGATAACTCAAAACTTTATTTAAGGATTTGCTTCCAAGCAGCCAGATTTCTGCTTAATCTTTCATGTGGTTTTGATCAGTAGTTCTTCAGGCTTTACAGTTTTTCTTTTTCTTTCTTACTCTTTTATTTCAGTGTTTGACCACCGCAGAAGATTATTTCTTTAATTTGTTTAAGACACTTGGCTCGTAAAAAAAAAAAACGGCTCCTGAACTGGAGGAACCGTTGTTGACACATACCAGACAACTTCACAAAGAGCAGCTTTAAAAGTATATCTGTGTTCCGCTGTCTAAAATAAACATCTGCTCTAACATCTCTAGTTCAATCTGAAAAATACCAACGATAACATTGTTTGCATAAAAATCATTTGAACTGCAACAAGTTAATTCCAAAACATCTTGATCTGTCCATTTTGTGAGTCTTATCCTTGGTCGGGTCGCCGAGGCAACAGGACCAGCAGGGAAACCCAGACGTCCCTCCAGAAACCTTGAAAACATCCAGAGAGACGGAAAAGGAGGCATCCTCATCAGATCACACTATCTCAACTGACTCCTTTCGATGAGGAGGAGCAGCAGCTCCGCTCTGAGCTCCCTCCAGATGACAGAGTTCCTCGTCCCGACCATAGGAAGCTCACTTGAGCCGATGGATCCGGGGTCTCCTTCTTTCAGTCTTGATCCAAACCTCATGTCCACAAGGTGAAGGTTAAAATCTTGGACGATCAGTAAATTTAGAGTGTGGCCTTTTGGTTCAACTCCTTTGGATCTGATCCACTGCTTCTTCCAGATCTGAGGTTCAACAACTGAATCAGTCCCAAATATCTTTTATCTGAAAACTTGGAATACAGTCGACTGAAAACTGATGAAAGTCTTAGGTCCTGCCTCAGATTATGTCCTCTTTGGTACGACTTCAGAAATGGTTCCTTAACTGAAAGCTTCTTTTTAGTCCTGACACCTTTGTTTTGTCCACCTGTCCAATTCCCTCATTTTTTTCAACAAGGCACAATGTTTTTTTGTTTTTTTTGTCATGGCCAATAACAGGTACTGGTCTTAAAATTTGTAACAAATTGAAAAATAAATAAAAGTTTTAATAAAAACATTGAAAGACCTTTGGAAATCCTGGAAAAGCACTGATCAAGAGATTCTGATGCATTCTCAATAATCCAGGTAGAAAAATCTAACGGGTCCTCTAAACAGGTTCTTGTTTGTTGAAACGTTTCATCTTTTGTCCAAACGACTTCTTCAGTTTGAGATGTTGCAGTAAACTCAGTCTTATAAATGGCACCTTATCATAGTGGATCAACCAGTTTGTTGCTGACAGCCAGAACCAGCTATTCACGTGCAAAAGGAGCACCATCCTCCATTGGTCCTCATTGTCTACACGTAGGCTCTCACACTGGTTCATTTTCATCTATAAATCCCTCTTTGATCTGCTACCTTCTTATATCTCCTCCCACATGTCACACCGTCAGTGCAGTTACAGCATACGCTCTCAGGACATCGTTACCTGCAGCGTTCCCTCATTGCAGACTGAACTTGGCAAAAAGGCCTTTTCCTACTCAGCTCCTGCACCTGGAACACCTTGCAACAGGAACTGAAGTTGTCCACCTTGATTTTGTTAGAGTCATCCTGTTATGCTGAGACTCCCAGTCTGGTCTGTAATTACAGATTTACAGACCAGACCCCGGTCTTTAGTATTTCACCCTGTTTTACGGCACCTTGATTTATTGTTTTATACACTACTCTTATTTTAACTGCATTTTTACTGTAGTTTATTGTTGTCATTGTTTACTGTTATTGTTGTCTGTACTTTATATCTTCTGTCTGGAACAGGTCTCTCTTGTAAATGAGTCCGCGTGGCTCAACGAGACTAGCCTGTATAAATAAAGGTTGAATGAAAAAAACCATCAGCCTAACAATGGCTCGTTAGTGCCCTGATGGCTGCTTGCTATTCAAAGGGGGCTGAGTGATACTTTCAAAACCACTGACCCAAAGCACTTTAAAAAGAAATCGGAAGCTTTTAAAACTTTTGGACCTTGTCCTGAGCACCATGCTTGCTTTAGGAAATGCACTTGATTGTCTTTCTATGTTTATGAAGACTGTGTCTTGACTTCCATTAATTTCTGTACCCCAACCCCGACCTTTACCCTTAACCTAATCATTATCAGTCTAACCCTGATCCTAACCTAAACTCAGTTCCCACCAAAGCTTTAAACCTAACCCTCCTGCTGCTCTTGGGTTAAAATGACCCAAGAAGCCTCACTCTCAACACTGAGGCTTTGTAGGACCCAAGGGCAGCAGCATGGTTAACCCAAAAATGGCATTTGAACACATGGGAACCAAACTTTGGTCCCTAGAAGTTGTAATTGGTCCTGAGAAGTTGGTGTTTAATGGTAAAATGTTCCTAAATGGTAACAAAAATAGACACACACACACATACAGGGCTAGATAAACTCACCATTCACTTTCAGGACAAAACCGAGATCTTTGCTGTTTCCTGCTGAGTCTTCAACTGTGACCACGTAGTACCCTGCGTCCTGCAGCCGGAGGTCCGACAGGCCCATGGAGCCATCATCACAGACCTTCACCCTGTTGCTGTAATCCACGGTTATGTTGGTGTACACCCCCGGCTGCCACGACCCTATGGTACGGCTCACTGCTGCTGACATGAAGGTCCATTGTATCGTTGGGACGCAGCTGCATGTAATGTTCACTGAGAAGACCACGTCGTCCTGCACCGACCTGATGAGGCTCCTCTGGAAAGAACTGACTGAGATGGCTCCGGCTGAAAGACAGCGAGAGAGGAAAATGAACGTCACATAGACTACGATGTACACAACGAACCATTTAAACACTGGAGGGGGTGAATTCCTTCTGGCTGTGTTTAATTTCAGGTAAGCTACTACCCTTGGGTCAAAGGATCATCACCTGCCAGGGTTAAGGTGCAATAAAGACACAAGCTTTGCTTTTAAGTCGGATCTTTTAAAATGGTATTTTGTTAAAATATTATGAACGAATATGGCCTTAGTTGTTGTGCAAAGAATGCATATTTCAAACAAACCCATGAAGCATTCAAGTACAGGTAGAGAATATAGCTGCAGGGTGTCCCTCTGCTGTTTGACCATTCTTCAAGCTTTACGTATCCGAAACGTCTCTGCTCAACGTTACGGAGGTCCATAAAAACAAAACAAAGGCATTCCTCTAATTCATTTCCTGAAGAGACCGAAATGCTCCAATCTGTTTGTTTTTTCAAATGGCAAGCCCTTAAGTAATGTTGTGTTTGTTGGCTCTTCAGTAAGCATAGTTGCACGAAAGCCAGAGAAAGATCTGGTTCTGCTGGTCCGGTGTTTGTTTCATAAAGCACAGGTAAAGAATCTTCTAAGAGTGCCTGCGCTGGCTAGGAACAGCTTTTACACAAAGTCTGAGTCAGTGAAATTCTTCTCAATCCCTTAAAGCTGTATTTATCTTAATTTTCAGCATGTCTATATTTAAATCATCACTGTATTTATTTGTTGTCGCCTTCGCAAAGTTTCAGAACGTAATCACTGGACGAACGTCTACAACTAATCAACTTTTAGAGTTAACGTCAGTCAAGTTAAGCATCTTTATCAAACACCAAAAGGACAACGGCTTGGCCAGTATTTCAGATACTGTTTTAAAATGTGGTGTGGTAGTAGCTGAGAGTCATCGCATATGGTCTTCAATTCAATTCAAAAATACTTTATTAATCCCAAAGGGAAATTAGATGTTGTTGTAGCTCGTTGTCCTCGTTTCATTAAGAGATGTTATATATACTGATGGCTGTAGGCAGGAAGGATCTCTTGTAAAGGTCCGTCCCACAGCGGATCCGAAGAAACTAGATGCCGTCTGATCCGTCCACCCAGACTCGGCTGACCTCTCGGTTCCTCCAGGCAGCAGGACCACACGAATGCCATGCAGAACCCCTCCCAGAGTGATGGCCACTCCTGCAGCCTGCCGAGCTCCTCATCACTACTGTCCTTCTGCTGTCACGAGCCGTGTTTCCTGCCAGTTCCAGGATCTCAGCGGTCACGCACTCGAGCACAGTCAGCAAGGAGACCGGAATGCATCCACGGCGCCTCCTTTTCAACTCATTTGAGATTTGGGGCTGTAGCTGAGATATTATCTGAGCTTTTACGATGTTAATCAGCTGCTCCCAGTTGTAAAAAAAATAAAAAATACACCTTGTTGTCATGGTTATGCATCAAAACAAATGTCCAAAACTAAAAAAGTTTCAGTAATCCTTCCAGCTGCACAGCATCCGATACCAGAGAAAACAACCAACCAAAACATGTGATTTACATCCAGTAAAAAAGGAATTAAAGTTTCCAAAAGCAAAATCTCAGAATGAAAGTAACAGAGCTGCTCCAACATGCAGCCATCCCAAAAAGAAACTGTCCAGATGACCTGACTGAAAATTATTGGATTGTTTACCTGGATTATTGAGCATGGACTTTTTTGGTTTTAGCAATTCTAGAAATTCTTGGTAACTGATCACGAGATCTGGATTGAAATCCATTAACTGTTGAATTCAACTCTGTCTGTTAGCAAAATATCCCATGATCCACTCGACTGATCTGAAAGAAACTCAGAAAGTAATTATTAGGTTGACATTTAGAAATGATTAACTTTGTTAATTAAAAATGGCCGCTACAACCAGCTGACCTTAGGAAACACAAAAATTAGTAATTTTACAATGAGCTCAACTTTGGTGTGGTAGTAGCTGAGAGTCATTGCCGATTATTGTAAATACTACACTTTATCAGATGTTTTTACTTAAAACGTTGCCATTAAATGTTGCTGTCAACCCAGTGTGTCTGTTAGCAAAATAATTCAAAACCCACCAGACAGAATTTAGAGTAACCCTAAGAAGGTGATCGTTGGATCTATGTCTACAAGTCTCTAACATTTGGTTGTTGCTTTTTGAGACGTTGAGACTCAACTTCTCACGTGTTTCCAGATGTTTCAGTGAAGCCACAGCAGGGCAGCCTTTATGGTTTTTATAGCACCTGAAAAGCAAAGCTGCCTCTCAGAAAACGTCTGCTTTTTCCTCCCATTTGGTTTCCCCTCCCGCCAGTTGGACTTTCTGCTGAAAGGGCTGAACCCTTAAACAAACACAGGCTGCTGTATCGACACGCAGAGAAAGACAAACTCAGACGGCTTACCTGTGTGACACAAACAGAGGGCGACGCTGAGAAAAACAGCAACATCTTTTCCATTCCAGAGCCTGAAATGCCACATTAGAATCACAGACCCATGTGTCCAACATCAGCCGAAGAATCTCCTCCGAGTTATCTCACATTCTGAAGCATGTTCCTCATCGTTCGTGTCCTTTCGCACCTTGGCCTAAAGCTTGTGTCCTTGTTCCTGTTAGATCTGTGTGTCTAATGTCTGTCAGAGTCCAGAGAGCGTGCGTCACACAAGTAAAGCTCAAGTTTCCCACCTCTCAGTCTCAACTGCGAAGGATTTCTTTTCATACCTGCTGCAGGTATGAAGCCAGCCCACACCTATCTGAATGGTTCAGTCAGAGATTACCGAGCAAACACACTGAGCCTCAGTCTGATCACGCACACTCACACACACCTCAAGGAAAAATGGAACACACACAGCGTCTTGGGCTGTAACCAGAAGTCCCCGTCAGAAAATGAAACCTGGGCGGGTTCTTGTGTTCTGACACACCTGGTAAAACATGCCAAACAGGAAGTTCACACATATGCAAAGCAGGGCTGACAGTAAAGTTGGAGTCTTGTTTCCAGCTGTCCCTTGACGTAAGAAGTTAACCCCAAAACTAAAAAAAGAAGATAAGGAGCACACCTTGTTCCCTGTGTTTAAGAGCCGGTGTGAATCTGCTTTTACACGACAGAACTAAACAGGTGAAACTGTGAGTTTAGCTGATCAGAGCTGAAAGATCAGGAGTTTTCTCTGCAAGGAAAGATGCTGAACACCGAAATATACATTGTTTATTTAAAGCTACTAACATGTTTGTTATTTAAGCTGCTTCTTGTACATTAAATGGAACAAGCTTTTTTTTATAATGACATCAGTGTGAATGCTGAATGACTGCCGAAATCCGCTGAAGAAGCTGAAAATGAGATGTTAATGCTAAAAGAGACAAAGCTCTAGCTAAAATCTAATCGACACTAGCTAAAAGAGACGTAATGCTAGCTAAAAGCTAAAAGAGACAGAACTCTAGTTACAATCTAAGAGACACTAGCTAAAAGCTAAATGACAGAATGCTAGCTAAAAGCTAAGAGACTGAACAATAGCTAAAAGCTAAAAGAGACGCAATGATAGAAAGCTAAAACAGACACAACTCTAGCTAAATGCTAAAAGAGACGCAATGCTAGTTAAAGCTAAGAGACAGAACACTAGCTAAAAGAGATGTAACGCTAGCTAAAAGCTAAAAGAAACATAACGCTACCTAAATGCTGAGACATAAAGCTAGCTAAAAGCTAAAAGAGACGTAACGCTACCTAAATGCTAAAAGAGACTGAACACTAGCTAAAAGAGAGAACGTTAGCTAAAAGAGATGTAACGCTAGCTAAAACCAAAAAAGATGTAACGCTAGCTAAAAACTAAAAGAGACGTAATGCTAGCTAAAAGCTAAAAGAGAGGAACTCTAGCTAATAACTAAATGTGAGAGAACTATATAGCTAAATGCTAAAAGAGATTAACTCTAGCTAAAAGCTAAAAGA